TTTCTCTGTGTCTCTGTGTGTGTGTGTGTGTGTGTGTGTGTGTGAGTGTGGGTGGGTGAAGCAACAATAAACAATGGCCGACAAGTGGCATGATGCTGAAGGTTGCAAGGAGGCGGCGGCGGTTGATGGTCGAATGAAATGCTGGGGATGGATTTATTCAGGCGGTAACTAAAAATAAATGCGGCGAGCACCTCTCGCAGTTTTTGCAATAACAATGCGCATGCCAGCTGCATCAGGAGAAGGACTTGACTGGCTGCTGCTGATGCTGCTGAAATCCTTGGGAAATTCGCCATTCAAGGATAATGGAATACTTTGCCCTTAAAGAGCAGCTACATGCCGTAACAACAACAACAACAACTGGAACGAAAGCAGCTAAAGCTGCAGAGAAAAAAAGCGGCAAGGGGCACCAAGAACAACAGCGGGCATGTTCTAAAAATACGACAGTAAGTTGGTGTACATGCAGCTTAATGGGCAAAAGCGGCCACCAGCGGCGACTGCGTCTACGATATTGATTGGAATTCGCATATATATATATATATATGTATATATATCCCCACACACACTCACACACTTACACACACACGGTTACAGCTGTGGGGCATAACCAGAAGCAAACATAAACTCACACAAACACAGGACATGGCTGTGGCAAGCAAAAGCAAACAGCGAAACGAACAACAAACACAAACCAAGCTGAAAACACACACACACACACACACACTCATACACACACACATACACATATATATGAGATCCCTCCCCCTCTACAGGCCCACACACGCAGCAAGGGCGGGCAACTTAAAGTGGATAATGGACGTCGCTGCATCCCCCTTTACTCTTTCCCTTCGCTTTTCCAAAAGGATGTTCTGAAAAAAAAAAAAATAAGGAAAAGAGGTACGGTCCAAGGGACACACACTGAGAGAGAGAAAGAAAGAGTGAGAGAGGCTGGATAAATCGAAGAAAGCGATACCCTAGAAAGGTCTGCGAGAGTCCTTTGACAGCCCCTGGCCACTGGAATTCGTGGGATGTCCCTTTATTATTTGAGAAGGATACATCTTGTAGGTTCAAGAATTTTTTATGTGATTAGCACTGGCAAAAAAAACTTTATTTGTTATTATATAAAAGTGATTACACATTTAATGTTCTATAATAAATTGTTGAGAGCTATAGAAACAGTATAGTTACTCTGCAATTTATGCAAACAAAAATGTTGGGAATTATTGAATATAAAGCTTTAGGAGGTATAAAATATTCATTCCGCAAAAAGCACTTCGGAGTATATGAAAAGAGGAGTACGAATATTATTTGAATAGCTCTTCAAATAATGTATTTTATATTCTAAAAGGTGTCAAAGGATACAGGACATTTTCTCTAGATATACATGAATTCCAATAGAAAATAATATTTTCTTCTTTCCCAAAAAATATATCCATTTTCCCACAGTGTGTGAAAAGGATATGGGCAGCTCCGTGTCCTGGCCCAATGTCGATTGCTCGACGCGCGTTCTTGACTCAGTTCGTTTGCCTTTCGTCACTTTGCCTCGTTGCTATTTTTAGTGCCAGCATTGTGGTGGCCAGGAAAATAGCAAAAACAAAAGCCAAAAGCAAGGGCAAACACCAACACTTTGGCCATTATGCATTTAGCAAAGACGAGAACGAAAATGAAAATGAAAATGAAAACGCTTGGCTAAGGCACTACAAATCTTCTCCTCCAGCCAAGCTGAGCTGCATTTCTCCGTTGAATCCATGGCGGTGTTCCGTGCTTCCTGTCCATCGTGTTGGTATTTGTGTTTGTGTTTGTGTTTGCTTGCACTGGCTTAAATTGAGCGCGTAAATTGTTTTAATTGCAAGGCGAAAAGCCAAGTCCAGCCAGCGAGCCACGCCAAACGGACGTTAATTGTAAATGAAGACTAAGAGCATTTCATCGTCGAACAGAGAAACTAGCTTCGCTCACATCGAGCACAATGCAATAAATATTTAAAAACTAAATAAACCGAGAAATAAAATTGAAAAACTACACTACCACACACGGACACACACGAAGGGACACGGGTGATGATTCATATGCAAACTGTCCACATGCATCAATCAAGGTCCGTTGACAGTTTTGCTGACAGCGGGAAAATTTTCATAAAACTATTTACAATAACAATTACATAATGGCTTGGGCGGGGCCTCGGGTACGATGGGCGTTACTGAGAATTTACATAATTTTAAATGTCAGTTTTTGAATTGCTGTTTGGACTTTATCCAAAACAGGGGAAAATTCAATACACAGCCTCCATACTGTGAATGGTCTGAATAAGTGTGTGCAGGTTGGTTTTTTACATATGTGTGTGTGATGCAACACTGGGAGGAAATGTTTTATGAATATTTAAAATATTGTATAATTTTAAAACTTAAAATTTCCAAAAATTTTAATATTACATATTTAAGTCTCAAGTTTTAATCATTATTTATATTCTGTCAGTGTGTCGCAGATACTATGTAATATTCGAAAATTATAGATGCCAAGAATCAGCAAATAAAATGTTTCAGGTTTGTTTTAAGGATTGAAATCTCTTCCCCAAAATGATGTCCAACTTATATTACGTATACGTAATATATTTTATAGCATACTTTTCGACGCTATTCCAAGTAATTTTAAGCACACAAAGAAAGTACGCCAGATCGAAATGTATTTAAAATATGGCAAAAGAATGCAAAAATAGGGTTATGGTTTGTTTCATAGTTTGTTATTTCAAGTTATATTACGTATACGTAATATTGTCTAATTAGACTTTTCGACATTTGAATTGATTTTTAGTACACAGATAAACTATCACACACTTGAAATGTATTTAAAATATGCAAAGATAATGCAATAAAATATTATAAGTTTGTTTACGGTTTAAAAATGTATTATTCAAGATGTCAAGGTATATTACGTATACGTAATATTTTCTTTAAAAACTTTTTAAGAATCTTTTAAGTACACAGAAATTTCTAAATTACCTTTGCTTGTAATTTTGATACCTTAGCCCCATTTCCAATCATTTTTCTCAGTGTCGGTGCGTGTGAGAGTGTGAGTGAGCTTGTCGATTATCGCAAGCATTTGGCGAATGGCAAACTTTTGCGCTTGTCGGCGTTAACAAGCCACAGCCATGCGTTTAACTAAGCGTGAATGTAACAGTGTGTGTGTGTGAATGTGATGTGATGTAAAAAGGAAGGGTAAGGGCTGAGGACTGAGGGGCCAAGGGGTAGGGAATCCAGAAGCCTGTCAGCGTGCGGCGGAATGTTTGTGTGAGTGTGTGTGAGAGGTAGCGGCAACATTGTTGCAAAATGATTTTGAAAAAAAAAGAACCATCAATAACTCAAATATAATGACAGTTTTCCACTTGTTGTTGCCTCCTGCCCGCTCGACTGCCCTAATCTGCTTTTCCTGCTTTCCCAGGCAGTCACTCACCCCCTCCATGCCCCTAAGTGGGGCTAAATGGATGAATAACTTAAGCCAGCTGCTTCGCCGCTCCTCTTAGTGTGCGATGTTATGTAATGTAATAACGTCAATCAAATTTAAAAAGGCAGACCAACTATTTCAAAATCAATTTTCATGCCCCCCTGCCTGTGGCCACCGCCTCCTCAACAGCGGGAAAGTGGAAAAGCGGCGGAAGGAAACAGGAAACCGACCTCGGCTTAAGCAAATACACAAGCACAAGTTGTTGCAGCCCCGCAGGAGCGGCAATCCGGAATCCTGAATCCTGAGTAGGATGTAGGATGCAGAGCAGCAGCAGCGTAGGATGTAGGCTAATGTGGCAAAAGAAGAAGAAGGCCGAGACTCAGTCACTTTGCAAACTGTATCCCCAAGTAAGCCGTGACTGGCGCTATTCACAGCGACATCGTTCGGGGTGAAAAAGTGCTGCGGCATTAGTTAAAAGTTAAGTTTTAACTTTAGACGAACGAGCGGCTCTCATGGCTCGCCGACTCGCCTACCTCCCAGGAGGAATGCGAATCATTAATCATTCGTCATGTGGGACGGCGACAACATTTCATTTGCTTATCATCCCGGCTCAAAGTCTTCAGGGGAATGAATGAATGAATGAATGAATGGGTGAACAAGCGACAAGCAACAAGAGTAGGCCTCAAAGTTGAATGAATCAAATGGGCTGCCGGAAAAACTTATTGCTAAGCCTAGAAATCCGTGACAAGTCAGTGGCTTCCTCTAGGGGCCAAGGCTTAAGTCTGAAATAAAGAGCGCCATCATTGGGGAGTAAAAGCGCTTTTAATTAAGGAAATTATCCCTTCTAATGGTTCTGAGGGTATGTAATGTTATTTTTTAAGCCATATTTGGGCTTATTTCTTTATATGCTTTTTAGGATAAAACAATGGGAGTTTGGTAATACAGTAACAAGGAAATGAAAACTCTAGAAAGTACTCTTTATGAATACATCCTTTTTCCCAAGGAATATCCTAGTCAGCCTTAAAGACTAAGATAAGTCTTATGCAACTACTATTGATTGAAATTTACAGATGACTAACTGTTCCCCATCGATGAATCCCTGAGAATAGGCTTGAATTTGAATGGATCTCAAATCAGACACACTCCTTGCAAGTCAGTGGGTGTGTGCGAGTGCATCTATTCAATTTGATATTTGTATTTCCTGCTTCTAACCGAAAGCCTGATGGTTGATTTTTTATGGTCAGCACTGCTACAACTCGCTGCCCATCATCATCATCATCATCGGCATCATCATTCCTGTCCCATCGTCGGCCACTCAAAGGCAAGCGCTGAATTGACAAATTGATGGATGGTTCTCCAAAATGCTGCATACTTCGGCAGCGGCTTCTCCTCTTTTCTTCCATTTTTTCTCTTTTTATATATGATGCATTATTATTCCGGAAAAGTTTGCGGTAGCAACAACAACCACAGGCATCGCCTGGCTAAGTGTTTTATTAGCCATCGAGAACAGAGTTTGAGTTCGGTTGAGTTGAGTTGAGTTGAGTTGATTGTCAGTCAGAGTTTTCACATATAAGTACACACACACACACATCGTTTCCAGTTTTTGTGTTCAATTTTCCTGAATTACTTTTGGTGTTTTTCTGTTATTTTTTCTCTTCTTGTTTGCCATGTCGTTTAACTTGACCAAGGATCAGATCGAAGAGCTGCAGGAGGCCTTTAGAATGTACGATCTGAATGATAATGGCAGAATATCCCCTCATGAGATGCGTCTAGCTTTGATTTCCGTGGGTCACGAGAACACGGAATCAGAGCTATACGATCTCATTGGCACGGTGACTGTCCATAGGAATGCGGATCTCAGTTTGCCCCAGTTCATGCAAATGATGGCACCCCGAATGGAGTCTGTGGAAAGTGAAGAGAATCTAACCAAGACCTTTCGCCTCTTTGATCGCGATGATGATGGCTATATGACCAGTCAGGATGTGCGTGCCTTCATGGTCATGATGGGTGTGGGTGTGAGCGATACAGATATCAGGGATATATGCAGGGAGGTCGATATGGACCATGATGGTCGCATAAGTCTGCGTGACTTTTTGAACTTTATGCATAGCCCCCTATAAGCTAGGCTGGCAATAAAAATTGAAAATTTGCCTGCAGCAAATATGCAGCAAAAAATGTACACGCGTACAACAAGCAACCGCAACTACACGCAGCGAAAATATATAGTTATTGTTATCACAAGCCTTTATTTAAAGCAAGTGTGTTTGTATAATATGTTGGCAAGAAAACTGTCACAAGTCGATGGATGAGAGTGAAATGAACATTAATTAAACTTTATTTCTGATTTATTGCAATTTGTTTTATTTATTTTGAGCTTGATTGTTGAATTTATTGCTCGATTTCTTGATATATGATGCATGTCAAAGCCAGGTTTGCCTTGAAATATGGCAGAAATGCTACAGATTAAAATATTTTAAATTAGTTTTCACTATTTTAAAGAATATTTCTCTGCCTGCAGAGAGGGGAAAATAAAACCAAGCAAGACAGCCTGGAATTGAAAACGGAAAGTAAAAAAATGGAGAGCATAAAGCCAGAAATTAATTCAACAGCACGTTTCATCCATTAAGCCGCCAGAGCTTTGCTTGCTGACTTTGCCATCGCAATGCCGCCCTTCTTGCTCCTCTGGCGCTCCTGCTCCTCCAGCCTCCTCCCATGGACATGGACATGGCAATGGACACATGTGCAATGGCCATAACCAAACACACATGCAAAGTGTTGTGTAAACAAGTCAGCTGGCAGTTGACCGGCAGGCAGCTGCAGGCGGGGCTTAGACGAAGCATCCAGCATCCAGCAGCAGCAGCATCAAGAGCTGGACTAAAGACCTAAGGAGCCTTCTCCTGACCACAAGGAAAAATTTCGAAGGCGCTACGCCCCTTTGGACTCGCCCACTGGCGTCCAATTGTGCTTTGTTTGCTCCCCAGCGGAAGGCAAGGCCAGGCAGGGATCCATCTGAAGGCGAACCACCTTGACTCGTTGTCGCCGTGAGTGGCTTTAATACATATATATTTTTTTTAGCTGACGCTGCCCTTAATGAAAGCCAGAAATGATGCTGCCGCTGCTGGTGGTGCTTCTTCTTATTCTCGTTTCCGCTTCCCCTAATGCGTCTTCCTTTTCCTGTTTGGCACTCAGAAAAAAACAAACAGCAAGAAAAGGATGCCCTAAGGATTATGATATTTCCTATTTTGTATACAGATTAAGAGTTAATAATAATGGGTAATAATGTACCCCACATATCTCTTTAGGTTAGCCTTTCTGAACTGCAAGTGCATTTTTCCATATCAAAACCACTATGTTTCTCGCAGTGCATGCGATCCTAGGCCTTCTTTGCCTTTCACTTGGCATTTTCCACTTAGCTGACTTGAATTGCTCTTGCATTTCGTCCAGTTATTTATGGCTCGGCCGAGTAAACGAGTTCATTTAGCTAATGGCCGCACGCCCAACTGAGCCTACAAGAGAGAGATTGCGCCACGAGTCCTTCGGGTACTTCGAGCAGCGCTCCTTGTGTGCCACAATGGACATTAGTGGCACACTGGCAATGGCAGTGGGACATCATCATCATCATCATCATCATACTCATTGCCATGGCAACGCCAGATTTCAATATTTTGCATACAATTTTTGCCCAGCTGGGCAGGAACGGCATTCAACCGCACAATCTTGGATTTATTTCCATACTATTCGTGCTGCCAAACATGGCAGCTTAGGGGGACTAAGGACAAGGACGAGGATGTATTTTGGTCCATTGTTGTGGTAACGTTTCCCTTTTTCCCTAATCCCCCATTCATATGCTGCGAGGTCCTCCTCGTTGTCAGGACAACCGGGACACGCAACAAGTTAACGCTGCTGGTCAGGATCCTTGGTAAGACTCGGAATTCTTATGACAATTCACAGAGAAATACCTTTAGTCCGACCATTGTTGAAGGTCGCTTTTTTCATTTGCATTTAAAAGGGGGTTGAAAGGGGGAAAGCCAAAGAAGGGATAACCAAGGATACATCTTGTGGCAGCTTTTTTATATTAAATATATTGTTCCAAATCATTTTCATACTATTCCTCCCTGCTACCAATATCCGTAGCCATAACTTATACCAGCAAAAAAGCAATGTTTCAGTGTCATCTATCAGAAGCTTATTCTCTGAATTTTCAATGAAATTTGTCATATTTTCTTTGTTTACATGCTACAAAAAAGATTAATTAATCAGGCTAAGTACTGAGGGATATAGTATATACCATGACCTCAATGTTTTCATTTTCATTTTTCCCCTGCAGAAGGATTTCCATATTGTTTGTCTTTGCAAATATCAAACAATAGTTGTGATTAATTTGAGATAAGTGCTAACTGCATCCGAGGGTTGCAATATTTTCTGTATTGAGGCGGGGGAGGGGGAAAACCTTATTTGTTATTAATGCTATTCCTGACCCCAATCTGCATCCTATTTCTGTTCCACTCACCTTGAAACTCCTTGCGCGCTGCACTCACTGACGTCACAATATTGGCCACATGACCCAGCACCGTGGCGAAGAGCATCAGGCCAAAGAGCAGCTGCAGAATGACGAACACATACTCGCCCTTGGAGCGTGGTTTCGGTAGATCCCCAATGGTGGTCAGGGCCAGGGTGCACCAGTAGTAGCTCTGCAGATACTGCTTGACCACATCCGCCGACTCGGAGTCATGATAGACCCAGTTGCGTGACCCGAAGCCATTGTTCTTGTGAATGATGTGATAGAGACAGCCGTTCCAATGGAATATCACAAGCAGGTAGTGGATGAGGGCCGTGCTCCGGAACAGATTCGGATAGTTGGTGTGCCGCTCGGTCCGGTCCATGAAGGCCCAGAAGCGATAGATCTTCACCAGCCGGAAGCTGCGCAGGATCGAGTTGAAGCCAATGGACAGATAGAGAAAGTCCAGCGGCAACAGGCACAGGCAGTCGATGTAGAAGATCGTCGAGTTCATGTAGTGAGTGCGCAGCTTCAGAGCATCCGTCTGCAGCACCCCATCCTCCAGGTAGCCGGTGCGGAAGTGGAAGAATATATCGATCAGATACAGGAAGTCGGACAGGTAGTCCAGGCAAAACCAGATCGCAATCGTGCGCCGGTTGATCTCCTGGAAGGCGAAGCGGTAGATTATCACCCAGAAGTTGTACAGGAAGGCCATGGACACCACCATGGACCAGTAGTAGCACAGCCGCCCCGCCGGATCGAACACAAAGTGCAGCTTCCTGGCTGCCGTCGCCGCCCGTATCCTCTGCGAGGCGGTGCGATGTGGTTTCTGATGATGCGGCTGACCGCCATGTGGTCCGCCTCCGCTGCCCCCACCACTGCCGGCTCCACCATGATGCGGATGATGGGGATGGCCGCCATGAGGTGGCCCCGGGCCACCGGGTCCACCCTGCGAGGGCGGACCGTGTGCGTGCGGGTGATGCGACACTGTGGAGGCCGAGTGCTGCAGCTGGTAGGGATGATGCGGCTGTTGGGCGGCATTGTGGTGACCCTGCTGTTGCGACCGGGAGCGCGGATAGCTAGTGGAATTTAATCCAAAAAGGAGGGGAGAGATGTTATCCTGCAAATCTGGAAATGGTGACAACACTCACCGATCCGTGCCGTTGCAGTAGTTGCCGCCATACTGGTTGTGCCCGATGCCGCCCATGGCCAGGCTGGTGGTTCCGCCGCCGGCCAGCGTGTTATCCTGCGAACCGCGTCCCGTGGAGCGATTCCAGGTGCCCAAAAGCGGCTGATCGCCGCTGGCAGCCGTTTTCAGGCGTCCGCGTGACTTGTTGCGTTGCTTGTTGTGCAGAAGATCCATTTCGGAGGCAGTGCTTACGGTGGCCATGTGCGAGTTGGAGGCCCTGGAGGCGCATGGTGTGGCCAGGCTATCGTGCGAAGTAAAGAAACCTTGTTGCGAGACACTCTGGCCGAATTTCGGCTGGGTCATGCCAAACTTTGGTCCTAGATCTGTGGATATGAAATCGTTAGGAATCATATTAGTAAAGTTTTTTAAGTACTAAAGGTATAATTTTTGCTAGAGCAAACCTAGAATAGGGTCGATAGGTTTTTGGGAAAAATTTTAGTTAAACAATTGAGAATTTAATTGGGTTGATAAAACTCTGATATGCTGTAAATTGTCTAAGCAAAACTTGGTGATTTCGTGGATATAACATTCATTTTGTTTGTTAAAAATATAGTTTTTATACGAAATGCCACCTAGTTTTACCAGGAATCAAGTAACAGCTACAAAAATCTCTCGTAATTTAAAAATTGGTTCATTTTAATAGAGAAAAATTTGGTTTTAGACTTCCTGATTTAGTTTTCAAGGATCTGGGATGACGCGGCCTTACCGAGAAAGCTCTGGCGATCAATCGAGAAGCGTCTTAGGCTTCCCAGATCGATAAACTGCTCGTCGCCGGCCATTGTGGGTGTTATCGAGAGTTCAGTTGTGTGTATGGCGGCACTCCCACCACCACCACCACCGGAGCCACCACCATGGCCGCCACCTGTATGCGAGGATAGGCCGCCGCCGCCGCCACCAGTTGAAGCACCACCACCACCGTTGCTGGACATGGCACCTGCACCGGATATACCGGTGGAACCACCGCCCACCGTGAGATTCGTACAGGTTGTGCCACCGCCAGCACTGCCGCCCATGCCGGCGCCCAAATATCCCGCGTTGCTGGCATAGAAGCTACCATCCAGTTCGGCCATCTGCTGCTCATAGGCGGTCAGCGGATTGATGGATCTGGAGCTATGATCCCGATATAGTGGCCGGGGCGAGGGCATCAGTGAGGGATTAAGGAGCCCGTTGAGCGATAGGCGAGGCTGCATAATCTCCGGGAAGCTGGCCCGCGGGGCTAATCTGTGGGCAATGTTTGCCTGAGATGTTGCTGCCGTTCCCGTTCCCGTTCCCGTTTTGGTGTTGCAATTAGCAGAGTTGCTTTTGCTTTTGCTGTTGCTCTGACTGTGGCTGTGGCTGTGGGTGTTGCTATTGCTGTTCTGACGTATTGCAAGTGTTGTTTTGGTCTGTTGTTGCGGCCTGTCATTGTGAGCGGCATAAGCCTGAGCCTGAGCCTGCTTCAGCCATCGTTCGTCATCATCATCGTTAGCGTTGGTATCGTTGTCGTTGTCGTTATCCCCATCGACATGGCTGTCGTGGCCATCTGCATCGCCATCGATGGCCTCCTCTCGCCTCAAACTGGGCGTGCCAGCTGCATTTGGCGTTGTTGCAAGCATTTCACATAGAGTTTTTCGTTTTTTGTTCGATGCCGATTAATTTCGTAATTGGTTTCGCATTGATTTATGGAATTTCGTATATATGTATGGGAAGAGCACGAGAAATGTGATCAGAGTATAGTGAAAAGTTAATTGCAAATTCTCCATTAATTTTTATGATTTTTTTTCTAGAAGGGTTTTAACACACACACACACAGAGAGAGAAATGAGCGAATAAATCACAATAAGAACGAGTGAGAGGATTGGTTTGGTGGTGGTTTCTTTTTTTTTTTTGGTGGCTACAGGTGGCTTGCTTGGTGGTGGTGGTTGGTGGTGGTGGTGTTGTTGAAAGTTTTGGTCTTTAACATCAACTCAACTGCAATAACGTTATCAAATAGCAACAGCATTCAACATGAAACAACAACGAGATGTACATGGGGGACATGGATATTCGTATATATATCTAAAACTTGTGTTTATTTAGGACTAAAACTAATTAAATCTTACCAGGACTTGCTTGGGTACACAGAGAAATGGGTATGATTTTCTTGATAATTTTGTAATTTCAATATTTAAATTTGATGAAATCTTTTAAAAATGTGTGCTTAAAGCGAATACCATTATTTTTGTGACTAAAAGTGATTATAAAAGTCTTTAAGCAAGGCATTGCCTACTTTAAGACACTAAAAAATATAGTTTTGGAACTTCTAATGATCTAATAGGTAATAAGTATATAAAGAATTAAGTAAATATGTTCTGGAAGTTTAAAAAATGACGAGTTTTTGAGATATAACATTTGTTTAGCACCTATAAGGATTGTTTTCACATATCTTAAGCTTTTATATATAAAAGGTGCTAGTAAGAAACATGAACTTTTACTAATTATATAGTTAGGTGAAAAAAAGAAATGTATAAATATAAATTTTAACCCTTAGGCATTTTTCTCTGTGTATTACTTGCATGCAAAGCTGGATTGTTGGATGGTGAGGTGATGGCCAAGTACCTTGGCACCAAAGTTACTCGACTCGTACCTCCATTTCATTTCGAGCCCCCGAAATGTGCTAATAAAGTTAGATTTAATTACGTGCGCCCAAAACGGAGGAGCATGCAAGAGATCCAGACCGTGGCAAAGGATGCGATGGAGTCGGGCAACACACTCCCGCACACACATTCGCTGTTGGAGCTTCATTACTTTTAACCAGCTGCCTGGCAACTGGCTGCCACTTGGAAATTCATGAGCTGCCACACGCAAGGGCTAAGGGATGCTTCGCTCTCCTGTTCAGCTCTGTCCTATCCTGTCCCGGACTCCGTTCCTGGCCAAAAGACTGGCTCAAGTGCCACTTGACTGTCGAACAGCCAGACAATGAATGGCCAAAGCCGCTAGCACCTCTCCCTGCCACTTGTGTCTATATCTGGGAGATGTCGCCAGCGAACTGCGTGCGGCGCCAATTTATTTCTATTACGAGCAGTTCGTGTCCACCGCCTGTTGCGGAATAGAAGCTGCTCCTTATAGTATATTGGGTATACTGGATATGTACCTGCCTCCAGCTGAGTGAGCCGGGCCATTGATTATTGGCAGACCGCTTTTAATTATTGCCCAGCTTCTTTTCTGGGCCAACGTAATTCAATTAGGCCACCAAACAATGATGCTGACTCGAGTTTCTGTGTGTCGCGAGTGAAATGCAAAAATTGTCAATTACTTTGGCCCACCTGCCCAGGCTCCTGCTCCTGCCCAGGCTCCTGCTTGTGCTCATTGTCCCTTGCTTTCCACACCTTGAGTCCAACACGAATTTGCACTTTCCTCCCGCCTGGCAATAATTTCTAATTAATTCCCGCTTAATGGCAACATACAAATCAACTTGACCGCGTTTATTTATTAACTAATTCCACTTCTGCCACGCCCTTCATGGGAACACTTTTCGCTCGAGGCTAGCAAGCTGGAAAAATAAATGTTATTTAGCTGGGTAATGCATTAATAATAAATGCCACGGCTTTCACTACACATCTCTTTCTCTCTCTTATTCTATCTCTCTATCTCTGTCGCTATCTCCCGCATTAAATGAGATTCCTGGTAATGAACTATTTTTAAGTCCTCCCTGGTTTTGCGAAATCTAGCGGAAAATGTAACTGTATAATTTTGCAGGGCATTTAATTTCATATAGACACCAGAGTTGGTTGGAAAATAGTTTCTATTGTTTTAAATCGTTGGCTAAATATAGTTGAGTAATTGTTTATTATATACACATAACTACTAGCCGGTGGAAACTAATTTGTATGCTAGTAACTTTGCTGTAAACTGCAATTTTAGTGGAATTGTTAAATAGAAAAATAATAAAATATTTTCTCTGACCAGTTAGGATTTTGTGTTGTTTCTAGCTTCTGTAATTTAATACAGAAATGTATTTGTTCAAGTATAGTAAATAAAATTTAAAGAGCTATTAATTATTTAATAGTACCTAAGAGGGAAATCATATTTATTTTCCCATAAATTCTTCCCTGTTTCCGGTTTTAAGTGCTGCTAAAAGTAATGGGTATCTCTTGGTCCAATTATTCATGGCAGCCTTGGCACTTGTTTGATTTCAGTTTTGTTGAACAAACTTAGTTCGCCAGAGTGCATTTCAATGTCGAACACGGGCATAGTGAAAGTTTTCACTCACACATTCGAGCAAAACAACAAACAACAAACGACGATTGCGTCATTGGCAATTTACAAGCCTGTTGCCCACTGCCAGCCGCTGTCAACGCAAATTGGGCCGATATTCTTGGCCACAGTCAGTGAGAGAGGGAAATATGGTAATGGGAGCGAAGAGTGAGGAGCGAGATCAAGGGGAGCCTGATTCCCAGTCCTGTCCCTGACCGCATTCCAAGTTTGCAGACATAATCTTGCCACTATTTAATTTTGCTAATAGTTGAGTGTCATTAATTTAAACTTTTGCGCTTTTCGGTTTGTCTTGGCTGCGGCCTCAGTGATAACAAAAACAGGGTAAACCCCGGCGGGGTAAAAAGGCGATGGAGAATAAGAAGGAGCAAGAGCACAGCTCGAGTGAGATAGAGCGAGGAAAAATGAAAAATCTACAGCTTAATGTGCGGCACTTTGTCATGGCCTGCCAGCCGGAAACGGAAACTTGCGACAAACTTGCGCAAAAGTTCAACAAAACGCTTGAACGGCCTCGCCCCTCACTCAGTTACTCCGTCACACAGCTCAGGATTTCGGGGCAACCGAGATCCATGAATTGTCAATAAATTTGCTTGCCGCAAATCATCGCAGCCCGGCCTCGGTTTCGGTTTTGGTTTTTGGGTTTTTTTTTTTCTCTTTCCCCATTCTTTTGGAAAGCGAAAAGAACGTCCGCTTTTAGCTTTTTGGGCGGACCAAAAAACTAAACCTCAATTATTTGGTGCAGCTGCCACGGCAAATGAAAATATTTGAGAACACGAAATACTTTGACAAAAGTTTGGCGAGCAAACTTTACTTAAACATACTTGAGCCTTACACAAACACGCGGCCAAGAAACGAAAAGGACATGGACAGAGTTTAGGCCATGGCATCAGGAGCAGTGGCGAAAACCCCAGCTCAAAGTGGAAATGGAAACTTAAACGACACAAAAAGGAAGTCGAGCCATAAAAACATTATGCAAAAACCCAACTTCAAAAGCCTCCGGGGCAAAGGGGCATAGCCCAAACTCAGTACGGGGAATTTAAATAGTCAACTGCCAGTCCAATGAACTGGATCAAGGTAAAGCCACCTCAAA